CTGGGCCTGGGTGAAAACAGGGTGCGGCCCACACACCCTGCCGTTTCACACCCTGCCAGGCTGCTCCTTCATCCCCTAGGGTTCAAGGGGCTGGTCTCCTTGGCTTTCCTGCCCATGCAGCTCCCTCCTCAAGGAAAACTGACTGCGGTTTGTTCGTGATTTCTGTGTGACCCTTTGGCACTCCATGTGCACACACCTCCCCAGCCACCTCTCTGTCCCTGGTGCTTTCTCACCAATTATCTCCAGGCAGTTCCAGCAGGGATCAAACACTCACTTGCTTCCCGAGGCAAAGGAGTTGTGGGTGCTGCACTTAGTCCCTTCTCTCCTCTAAGGAAAAGCCATACTGGGTGCTTTAAGTTGTGAAATGTTTTGGCTGTTGACTTAAGGACTGGTGAGGGGCAGACAGTCCAATGGGAGCCACTGCTGGCCTGAGCGATGGAGAGTGATGACACTGATGACACTTGTGTAGACGGCAGGAGAAGCAGTTAGCTGGGATGTGGGCGCAGCCAGCAGAGATGATGTCTGAACCAAACCAGGGCATCTGCCTCATTGGACAGGACCGCAAGAGAGATGTGTGGCCACCACCTGCACAGGTTGCTGTACTGGGGCCAAGGGTTGTTCTGGGGTCAAGGATGAAGAGGCCAAAGCAGGCCACCCCAGCCAAGCTCCCTGACCTCTTTCTGAATCTGCAGGGCACGCAGCCACTACTGACCAGGCCAAGTGCTTGGGTGGCCTTTTGGACAGTGGCTTGTGCATCAAGATAACCAGGCCCAGAACAACAATGCCAGGGCCCTGTGTGTGCTTGGGTGGTTTAGGCATTGGAGTTCCTGAATCCCTGGGAGGGAAACTGGCATGCGTATTTCCTGAAGTCTATGGTCACGCAATCCCACAGTGACAATGGCTCTTTTTTAGGAGCAGGTTGGTGAGCACAGCTGTGGGAGAGGGAAGGCATGGTTTGATGTTCTTCCTGCTCCTCAACCTGCCTCACCTTCCCTGAGCCTGAGGAGGGTGACCTCTGCTCCTGGGACTTCCATTCCTTCCAACAGTAGCAGGAGGAGTGCCAGTCCTTCACAGCATCCTTCCCTCGAATGGCTCGTGGGTGCACCTGGATGAAAGCCGGCTGCTAGTGTGCCATGGTGCCCTCATCTTCTGCGGTAAGCCGTGATCTTTGCTTCCCACACTTCCTCTATTCCTCGGTGCCAGTGGGAGCTGAGGCCATAGACTTGGCTTGTCCAAGTAGGAGCCACTGGCCATAGGCAGGTATTCTATCTACGTTAAGTGAAACATTCAGTTCCCTAATCAAGACTGCCCACACTTCAAGTGGTTACCAGCCACCAGTGCCCAGGGTGCTAACTGGAGACATTACCGGACCACTCGCTATATCTAAAGTTCTGCCTTTAAGTAAGTTGGGGTGAGTTAAATATGCATTTAGATGTTTTCAAGGATAGAAAGTGATGAATAAGAGTGATTCACATGCTAAGAACTGGAAGAATTTTAGCTGTGGTGGTCAGAGAGGCTCTCATAGATGGTGGACATAGTGACAGCCTGCTGGAGTGCAGGGACCATGGATCAGCACTGTCCTCTGGACCCTGAGCTGTGGACCTATGCATCCTGGAGGCCCAGGCAGGCTGGCATGAGGATGGGTGCTGGTACCCTCAGCTCTGCATGGAACTGTCTAAATGGATGACATCATTGCTATCCACTAAAACCAGTGAGAATCTGGGTGAGTCAGGAAAGCAGCCACACCTCAGGACCTGCCTCAAGGACCCCCACACCTCCTAAAATGTCATGTGCTGGCAGGACACTGAGGAAGGAAACCCTACTGAACTGCTGGGGTCCTTTCTAGAAAATCAGTCACCAAACTCGATCAGATGAATAAAAAACCAAAGTACTGGGGCACTTCTCAGTGAGCAGGAGGCCAGTTGGAGTCTGTGAGCCTCATTCTGCACAGGCAAACCTTGTGATTTCAGAACCCGTCTGACAGGCAAATTATTAGAGCTGCTGCTCCTGGGAGAAGGGGCTCCCATTGTCCCTGAGTTTAAAGGAAAACAAGTCTGTGCTATTGGTGTTAACTTTCCCTGCTGAGACATAAATGACTGTCTGTTCATCTGTGTTAGGGCACCAAGGACAGACCAAAGACAAGTTTGGTGAACTAATCAATTTAATTTGGGTTTGCTTCATGAGCCAGGAATAGAACTCAGTGTAGAGTGCTTGCCTGCCTGGCATGTGTGAGGCCCTAAGTTCAATTTGCATAATGAGAGAGAGGGAGGGAGGGAGGGAGGGAGAGAGGGAGGGAGAGAGAGAGAGAGAGAGAGAGAGAGAGAGAGAGAAATGGTTTGAATGAAAATGTCCCCATAGGCTTCAAGTATTTGGACATTTTGTCCCCACATGGTGGTGCTGTTTGGGGAGGTTTTAGAAGGTGTGGCTATCCTGGAGGAAGCAAGTCACTGGGGGTGGGCTTGGAGAGTTCTGAAGCCTTGCTGGATCTCCAGTTGCTCTCTTGCTTCCTGTGCCTGTGTGATGATGTGAGAGCTTAACTTCTGCTGCTCCTGCTCCAGCCACCTCCAGCCACCACGCCTTCCTGCCATGACGGACTGTAATTCCCCTGGAACCATAAGCTCAAACAAACTCTTCCTTCTATAAATTGCTTTGGTCAGTGTTTCTGTCACAGCAACAGAAAAGTGACTAATGGGGGGGGGTGAGAAGAAACAAGAAGAAAAGAAAGAAGAGAAAAAAGGAAATGACTCCCCACTCCCAGGGCCTCACGCACCTTGTGAGCCCTCTCTCTCTTTTGCAAGGGAATGTAAGGGGGCCCAGTTTTCTACGGGTCTTATGCAGGTAGTCAGGGATGCTCTGATTTCACACTGGCCATGCCAATGCCTGGAGGACAGGGATGTAGGCACATGTGGCACGGCAGAACTCACCCATGGGAACCTGCCTGCTCAGCCCTGGGGAAGGAAGGGTAGCAAAGAAACATGAGGTTCTTGTGCTCAGACTGTAGAAAACCAAAACCTGGCATCAGCATTCAGTGACCTTTGCAAAAGTGATGCTAGGGTTGGTGTGTTAGTCTTGTCAAGGGTTTGAAAGCTCGTCTATTTTTCAAAAAGGTTTTCCTAAACTTGAGTAGGCTACAATGGTCAGGTTCCAGGGCCCAACTTTCCCCTGAGCATCTGGGTAAAGGTAAGTAGATTCACTCCAGCAGCATTCCACATCTGCAATCACGAAACTCCCATGTTTCATGATGCAACACACAAATGCACAAATCCTGAATTATCCTATACTCTACTGTCTCTAAGTACAATATATACGAAATAACACACGCATGCACACACACACACACACACACACAGTTAGTAAATACAATTCGCTTTTAAGAATGTGTGGTCTTCAAAGGATGAAGGACCACTAACGCATCTTTCAGTGCTCATCGGTGAAGCTCCCTCATGAAGCAGAGGGCCAGGAACGCAAAAGGTCACAAATGTCCAAAATGCAGAAATTTAGAGTCTGAAGACTGTGGGTCCTTGGACAGGATTCCTACATTAAAATCCACTCACCACCCAGGGCTCAGAGACCACTGCAGAAGAGGGGGAACAAAAATTGTAAGAGCTAGGGCTTGGGTGCAGGACCATATGGAAATAGTCCTACAGGCTCCTGGGACTCTTCTCATACAAACCTACAGCAATGGTGTCAGCATGCACAAGACCCATGCAAATACCCAGCACAGAACTGTGGAAATGAACAGCAAGCCCCAATCCTAGTTGAAGAATTATTGGCAGCTGATTATTGCTGGGTGATAATATTTGCTTTGGGTGTGAGGTTTATATAATGTTGGAATTCCAACAATGAAGTCAGCATGCACAAGACCCATACAACCTTAAGCAGGAAAAATCCCAGCACAGAACTGTGGAGATGAGCACCAAGCCCCAATCCTAGTTGAAGAATTATTGGCAGCTGATTATTGCTGTTCAAGAATACATGCTTTGGGTGTTAGGGTTATATGATCTTCAAATTCTAATTTTAAATCCATCCTCACAAGAACCCATTGCTTATATCATATCAACTAGGCCATGGGACAGTCTTATAGAAGTATAATCCCATCCATAAGGCACAACAAAACACAATTTTCTGCTTTCACGACCAGTGTCCATCCCTCATCGGTCTGGCACTCGAAGTGTACTTTCACCCTTCCTTCTCTTCCCCTGCAGGCAGTAAGGATGGAAAGTGGAATGACAGGAAAAAGAAACCCAACTCAAGATACTGTCAGTGCTAACCATACAATCCCACATCGAGTCTGTCAGTTTTCTGGACTAAGCATGTCCAGCATATTCGTCCTACACAATGAAATTCATTTCCTTCCATCTCTGTACACATGCACAGGTGTGCTATTCCAATTCATTATGGACTATGGCATGTAGTTGTGGTATCAAAAATTACGATTTGAATTTACCCATGACACCCTAAGTACATCAGTATTAGACACAGGCTTCAGTGTCTGAAACCCCTCCCATATATGTAGACCCCCATTAACCCCAGTCAAAATTTATCTATCACCAAGTACATCAGTATTAGACACAGGCTTCAGTGTCTGAAACCCCTCCCATATTTGTAGACCCCCATTAACCCCAGTCAAAATTTATCTATCCATCCTGGTTTCCTACACTATAGGCTATCATCTATCTATCTATCTATCTATCTATCTATGTATCTATCTATCTATCATCTCTATCATCTATCTATACATCATTTACATATAATGGAGCCAAATTCGAGAGGCCAATGGACTGTATGTCTTTGAGCACCACAGCTGAGCACAGGAAAAGCCCAGCTGAGCATCCTTCAAAGACACAATATGAATCATGAAAAAGAGAGGATTGTATAGCCATCAAATTATAGCGTTTATTATAGCAATAAAGAATATGTAAAATACAATAAAATATGATAAAAATAAATAACATTATACTAAATATATTTCATGTATACAATATTAATGAAAAGTGGATAAATACATTGTATGGGGAAATTTTCAAGTATGGACAGAGAGGGAAAAAATAAATCATGGAAAAGGAATGATCTCAGATATTAAAATGATCATTCAGTGCTCAATTTTTAACTTAAAGGCATCTCTTCAGATGAGTGTTGCTTCCTGAAGGCTATGTCATTCTTTTGTTAATAAATTCAGTTATTGTTTGACAGAAGTGAATTTATATCAAATTCTCTCAATCTGTGCAACCATCTGAGAAAAGTTTTCAATGCAGTAGTACAACAATGAACAGAAAATAAAACTCAAATATTGTTCTGAAGATTTGTCTCTCCATAACTCAGAACCAAACTGCAGGCAGCAAGCAGGGTGATCAGATCCAGATGAGGTCATCATCCTAAAGGTGTCATTTCCCAGTAATGTGACTTCATAAGAGTGCTGCATATTCACTGTTGAGTGAAAAAGATAAACTTTTCATGGGACAAACGTTCTCTCGCACACTAGACACACCTTGATTGCTGTAGCTATAGAATGTGAAGAACATGGAGGAACTCATGATACATATTCTTAAGGTCAGGATCTCATCAACTCTCTGAAGTGTATGTATGACTGTTAGTGAGCAATGAATACCAAAGCTTAAGTGATGTTAAATACTGTTCTAAGGAGTCCAAACAGGCGTCAATATTGCACTGCAAAAAGTAGTTGTGCAACCTGTGTTCTTTAATCACTATGACAATGCTAATATTTCTATATGATTGTATCAGCATTTGAGAGTAAACAAGTAAGGGGTACAGATTAAATCAGCAGTGAGCTTAGCTCATAAACAGTACATGGGATTTTCTGATCTGGAATGCTTATTTGATGTTAATTATTCTCAAAGAACCTAGTTCTCTGTAAATCATTTGAAATATTGTCCACTTTGTGGTCTGCTGAATCATTAGGGAAACAGGAGAAAAGAAATACATGTGATGGTGGGCAGTGCACACAAAGTTCAGTGGACACACAATCCACATACATATAGAGATTTCATGAACAGTTTTCTTGAAAGTAGTATTCAAACCCTGTTATAACATGATGTCTCCTGAGGCCACTATGACTGTGTTAGCGGGCTTCTGAGTTCACAGGTGTCTTCTTTCCCTGCCTCCCACTTCATGTCTGTACAAAACCTTCTCTTACCTACAAGGCCTCCCTCCTCAGGAGAAGATGGAGTCCCGGGCGCTGTGTCAGTTGTCTTGGGGCAGGTCCTCTCGCTAGGACTGCGGTTCTCAAGATCCAAGGCAGCATGTGCAGCCTCAGAATCAGTGAAGTCACTCTGGGTATCAGGAGGAGCCTCAGTGCTGTTACAAATCATTGCGCTCTCCTGCCCAACTGAGTCATTGTCTTCTCCAAATACTGGACTGCGGTTCTCAAAATCCAAGGCAGCATGTGCAGCCTCAAAATCAGTGAAGTCACTCTGGGTATCAGGAGGAGCCTCAGTGCTGTTACAAATCATTGCGCTCTCCTGCCCAACTGAGTCATTGTCTTCTCCAAATACTTTACTGTAGTTATCAAGGATAAATTTTACAAGACACATCTGTAATGAAAAGGGAAAACACAGGATGTCTTGGGAATTTGGCATAGTTGTATATCACAGTTAAAACAAAGTGTTGAAAGTCAGAAAACTGTGAAATCCACAATTATGAGACATCTCAATTGCTACAAGTTACAAGAGCAATTTTTTCCTTCAAAAGAATTATGATGTTTAAAATAAGGGGTACACATCTTAAAATATCATCCATATACTTCAACAAAATACTATCAGATAATATTCAAGGTCCCAAAGGATGACTTTCATTACCACTCTGCATTTTGAAACAAACAGAGACATATCTATAGGCATGCCGGAGAGGCTGTTTCTACAGAGTCAGTTCAGGAAAGATGACTCATCTTGCAGGTGGGTGCACAATCCTTTGACTGATCTGTCTGAATAAATAAAAAGTGGGTAAAAGCAGCAGTCAGGCGGCACCCATTTTCTTCCCTCTGCTGCTCCCTGGATAGACAGTGTGACCAGGACACCTCATGCTCAACGACCTCACGTTCCCCTGTGATGTACTGTCATTTGAAGTCATGAACCGCAACAAAACTCTTTTAAAAATGGCGTGGAGGTCAGAAGAGGGCTTCGGATTCCCATGGAACTGGAGTTAAGGATGGTTCGTAGCCATCATGTGGGTGCTGGGAATCAAGCCTGGGTCTTCTGCAAGAGCAGCCAGTGCTACCAACTGCTGAGCCATCTCTCCAGCCCCTAAAACTCTTTAATTCTTACGGCACCTTTGCCAAATATTTTGTCATAGCAAAGAGTAAAAGAACTAACTTTTCTCCCTGAATATTTGGAGTGAACATATAAGTTCCATTATTCGGATTTATAAAGCTAAATATTCAAAATTTGCAAAATCCATCTTTTAAGTGGTATCTAACTGTTTAAGTAGAGCTTCTCTGATAGTTTGTGAAGGAAGGGGACAGGTGGATAGAACATGTCAGGCAGTGCAACAGCAATCCCTCCATGTATTGATGTGCCTTAGGCTTGCTGTCTGCTGGAGCTCGGGCTGGTTTACTAAACCATTTGTAGTTCAATTAGGCTGCCCTATGATCTTTTACTTGAATTTTTCTTCCAGTAACAGATGTGAAAAATGCTCTAGTTAGTTGGTAAATCTCCTGAGGAGGTCCATGTGTCAAAATCTTGTCCCCAGGATCACTACATTTGGAGATACATTTTAAGAGGTAAGGCCATGCAGGAAGTAATTTGGACACTGAGGATGTGCCATTGCAGGAGAATGTGCAGCCCCACTCTACCTTCCTTGTATTCCTGAGTCCCCACATTGAGGTGAGCAGTTTTCCATAAACAAGACCTTGGGTCCACCCTACCCCCTCCACAGTCAAACAGCACAGTTGGACACTGATCTTACACATTGACTATAGACTTTAACTATACAAAGAGGCATAATAAACATTTTGTTAGAAGAATACCATAGTGAACATTTATATGGCACAGAATGGAAACTCTCTGGTTGGAACTAGTTATATCTTTCCAAAAAGAAAAACAGTGTACTTTCTTTCTAGAGGGCTACA